CAAATTTCATATCTCATTTAAAAATATATCGATATATTTTTAATATCGATATATCGCCCAGCCCTACTCAAATGTTCAATGATGAATAACTTGTATTCATTTGTTTAGAAACAGGAACACAATAAAGACATAAATGAAGACAATGGATCAGTTAATGTTTCCTTAAATGCAACATAATACCTGATTTAGACAATTAAGTATCAGAACTTTTCCTCACACACAGCGTTGAAACACATCACAGTGCATTATTTCTTCAGTCAACAAACGTTCCTTTGCATGATACAAGTGTTTGTTGTTTGTGCCCTCAAGACCCCTGTTTGTACATATGACCTTATGCTACAGACCCCTGAATTTCACATGGTCTAATGAGGACTAAGCCATGTCACTGACCACCAAGCTCTCCAGCTAACCTTTGACCACAACGAGATGTGACAACTTTCACTTCAGGGCTAAATTCCTTTTATTTGCCACAGCCACAGGTCATAGCCCACGGCTACAATCACACTAATAGAAGCTTACAGTCCAAAATATCCCTTCAACTCTTGCTTCTGGGGCCATTCTTCTGAGTCTAAATGAGCAAATAAAAGTTAGCAGAAGTATCAAAGACTGAATTCATGCTATATTATTACCGTGTTGGTCATGTTTCTGTTCTCTGGAATATCCATGATGCAATAATCAGACTCAAAATTCAAAGGCAATCAATTTGTCTGTGGCCTATGATAGTTCTTCAGTGATTCAGATGAGGAAACAAAAATAAAACAATTTAAACATTTATCGATAGGCTAGAACTGGGCGATAATTCAATAATAATATTTATCACAACACTAATGTTCTTGATAATATGATTTGTACAAGTCAATAAGAAAACCATGGGCGTGATGGGTCAGGCTTATAATAGTTCAAATAAATTAGCTTATTGTTACCGCTATAAAAGTTTTTTATAAAAAAGATTTAAATATTGTAACTGACCAGGATTATCGTTATTAATTCCACAGGCAAAGAAAGCAGTCAAGATCAAATGACATATATAAATAAACTTTCTTACACAGATTTCCTGGGAACCTCTAGGCAAAGGAGGGCAAAACAAAATTTGACCTGGAGACCCAGAGATGGTAACAAGACAGACCCCATTTTTTTTCTTTCATCTCCTTTCATCTTCAGCCTTTTCATGAGCCACACTGGCCCAAGCCATCTGCTTAATTCTAATACGAGGGATAAAGATGCAGCATTTTTTCAAGACTTCACAACAGCCCTTGTGTAGTTTATTCCTGTTTACAGCATTGCAGTATGCTGTGCTGTAAAATATTCACTGTTAAACTGTCAACGATCCTGGCCGCTCGCCCGGTGTTCACAGTATGGTGGCACACACAATGAGTTTAAGCTCTCAACCAATGGCTCCTCACTGCAGAGCCCGTGAAAACCCCACTTCTCAAGACCTTCCAGAGCAGTTCAAACACCACACAAGCTTCCAGACTTGGCTTCCGCAATGTGTAATGTTTCCTTCATATTCTCTGCCCTGCAAAGCCACTGCCAAAGGTTTCCTACCTCCAACTTGGCATGACTTCTGAAAAATACGTCTCCAGCAGCAGCACTAGAGCCGGCTGTTTGTTTGTTTGCCTGACTGAGTGCAGAAAGAGGGTCCTGTCGTGGAAAATCCTGGAACGAGGGGAGTGTCACGTCTCACTCCAGCCCTCAACAGCCCTTGGGCTGGGGAAAACTCTGCAGAGAGCTCATGAGTGTGGTGTTCCAGACCAACGTGCCAAGCTATTTGTACATTAAGACAGACAGGCTTTCAAAACACACAGCTTCTTGTCTTTTCTCTCTGTGAAATATTAAGTGTCATTTGAAGTGGGGACTTATGAAATCACATCCCTTATGAAGAGGCTGTGAACGCTCTTTAAGATCACTCTACATATTTACTCTGGTTTTCATGGATTGTGTGACAAACAGTGGCTGTCATCACATCTGCTACTGCGTTTTACAGCAGCACCTACTTTTAGTAATTTTGCTATTAATAAGTTTTATTTCCCAGGAAAATTAATGCTATTAATAGTCAAGAAAACAAAAACCTTAAATCTGTTAAGTACAGAATTGCTTAATTTTCAAATTCTAAAATAGAAAAATGTCTACATAAAACCAAAGCAAAATGTAAAACACATATTTTTATTGTATCAATGATGTATATGAGATATAGTGCTTTGCTGCACTGGCCTAGATGAATCATGCTTAATAACATGACAAGGCATCAAGGTTTTTGGACGCATTTAATCTTTATTTTGTGCTTACTTTACCAGTGTTTGAATAAAAAACTTCTTGCCAAATCTTCATGACCACAGTTGGTGTTTGATGACCAGAATAATGCTCAATTAGGAAAGTTTTCCATATGAAATGCAGCCATGTTACCACTTGTTTTGCCACTCAGGCCCTGTCCTCAAGGGCCTGGTTATTTGGAAAACAGATATTTTTTTGTTAGTAGCGTTAGTACAAAGTACAAAGTAAGTATGTGTTGACCAAAACACATAACCAAAGTACCGTTTTCAAGCAACCGTACACTTTTGTAAACGCATATTTTGTGTCAATCGTATTTAAAACACTTCACAGCCAGGGTCCTGGTGCTATTGTGTTTGGGAAGTGGAGTTTGCAAGCGTAACACCATCCGAATAAGGCCAATGTTGCTGTTTACTCTTCTTTCGTGGCTTTCAGGATTACATGCACCTGTTTCCTGTTTGATCACCGAACAGAGGCACCTTTTTTATTTTTACAAAACTTTGACGATTTTTTTTTTTAAATCACCATAGGAAATGTGGCCAGGTAGGAAAGTGATGTGACAGCTCCATAGCCTTCTAACTGTTTATTTTGATGAACTCACATTAAACTTTCTATTTATTCAAACTGTTTTAATGGAGATTGTGTAGTATTACAGTAATTTTACAGTAATTAACAAGAAATCAAAAGCATGTTGATCAAATAATCTAGAAGAGTTGTTTATACGATTCAAAACACTTGCAAGAACAATTTGTAGTATACCTTTCTCTTCATAAATACCTTTACTTCCATACATTTAAAATCCAAAAATACTTGTCATATTTATGTACAATGATGACTGGGAACTTTAATAGTTTTATTTGTGTACATTTCTTAGCAATTACTTTAACTTTCTTTTAAGGTCACTTTTCAGTAATGCATCTGGACTTTAACTTAAGCACAACTTTTCTTTTTTTTTTTACCCTGACTCACTTTATCCTAATTCACTAAACGTTACGTCATTGCGAACGGTTTGAAGAAAGGGGTTCGTGGAGTCACCAGCACAAGTATCAACAGGCTTCTGTCACCAGAAAAAGAGTTGCTTAAGACAAGCTTCACCAAGTGCATTATTCATAAAGATTCCAGAGAAATAAAGAACAAAAAACGTAATGTGTACATGCTTTAGGTTACTCGAGTAATTCTGAGTTGTGCCATTTGTCAATGTGACAGACGTTAGCCTAGCCCCAGTGCTCCAAGTTTGTGTTGTCACTGTTTTAAACACAAGTAAATCGCTCACAACAATATAAAAACGTCTCTTCGCGAAGTAACACAAACATATAACACTAAATAAACAGTTTGAGCATTAGAATATTTTTGTTTGTGTCTGTTGAACTGACGACATGGGTGCATTAGCATAGCGTGCTAACTAAATCTAATGTTAGCCGAAATTTAAGTGAGCTTAACTAAGCACAACTTGTCAAAACAGGTTCTAGAGTAACTGTTAAAGTCTCAAAAAGTTTGTCAATGAGAACGAATTTGTTTTGAATTCATCAATAGGGAACGAAGCTAACGTTAAACTCTTACCAGGAAGTGTCAGCCAGGAATGAGGAATGTCTCGTGCTGTAACTGTAACCGCCGATGACAGCGAGGAATACAATAGTGATGAAGATGATGGTAGGGTCTCAGTCTGTCAAGGTCGCGCTTCTGCTGAGTTCCTACTTGACGGGGCAACACACAGGCACAAACAGAGGGTGTGTATTCACTAGAGAGTGTGTTTGCGCGTGCACACCATTCCCGACATGCATATTGCACACACTTCCCAGCATGCTCGATAGAGAGGGCAGGAAACTTTCCCTCAAGCCACGATATTTTTATTAAACTACTGTATATTCAAGTTAAATGCTGTTGTGTTTCCTAATATACAGCAGCATAAATGAGTAAGCCCTATTACATTCGTCAGAAAACCTTTAGTTTCCTTTCAGAATCAACATTTTCCATGAGATACTACTAAAGATTGCCCCCACAAAAGAGGGATTTTCCTAAAAGAATATTCAAAATGTCGCAAATATAAGTACACTCCTATTGAAGACTACAAAATTCTAAATAACAGGGATTCAAACAATGATTCATTTAAGAGGTGTCCAGCAGACAGGTGACTATAAAAGGACATTACTTAACAGAGGTGGGACCAAGCAAGTTTCAAGTCAAGCCCCAAGTCAAGACAGGGCAAGTGCATGTCAAGTCACAAGTCAAGACAGGGCAAGGGAAAATCCAAGTCAAGGCAGCGCAGGTCTAAGTCAAGTCTCAAAAGTCAATGCGGGACAAGTCACTAAATATTAATTTCAAACTACTTTAATTAATTTCCAAAAAACAAAGCTATAATTGAAAGCTTTCCTGTGGCTCAGTAAGTAGAGCATTGTTTTAGCAGCACAAAGGTTGTGGGTTCAACCACCAGGGAACTGACGACATGTGTTCAACATCTGCCAAATGTGTAAATGTATGTGAACGTGTCAGAAATACTGCCCGCAACTAATAGATGAACTTTTTTTAGATGAGCTTTGTTTTCTTGCTCTCTCTTTCTAGCACTCTCATAGAAGCATGTGGGACATGAACTCACACAGAGCGAAATGCAAAAGTGAATTGATTATTATGTGGGGCAGTCGATTATTAAGTCGGGCAGACGTGTCCTAGTGGATAAGGTGATTGACTGGTTGCCGGTTCGATCCCCAGCTCCACCTGTGACAGCCATTACTGTGGTGGTCTTGAGCAAGTCACCAGTTTCCCCACAGCTCCTTGGGTTCCGCAGCTACGGGTGCCCACTGCTCCGAGTGTTTTTTGACTGCTGTGTGTGTGTGCGCAGTTGAATGGGTCAAATGCAGAGCACAAATTCCTCGTATGGGCCATTCCAAACATCAAGTCTTTCCGAGTTGAAGTGGTCAAGTCCGAGTCAATTCGCATGTCATTGAGGTTTAAGTCCAAGTCGAGTCTCAAGTTTTTGTTATATTGTCAAGTTGAGTCTTGTCACCATTCAATTCGATTCCAAGTCTTATGACTTGACTCCACACCTCTGTTAATTAACAAAGAAAAGCCTTTCCCAGTTCATGTTGTCGGAAATGGCTCCCCATGGAAGAGAAATGTCACAAAATCTGAGCAAGGAAATAATTTCTTTACACAGTGATGGCTAGAAGAAGCTTTACATATCAGTCAAAATACTGTTGCAAAAGTGATCCAATAATTTAAGAAAGATGGAATTGCAGCCATCATACAGAGATGTCCAGGTTGTCCATGGAAGTTAACATCTCGATAGAAGTGTCTTCTGATGAGAAGGGTTGAGGAAAATCACCTGCAAGTTCATTGCAGTTAGCTAAAACTAAGCCTTTGCAGGGGAATGACATGCACGAGTATCGTCCATGAAGGAAGCCTCTTGTAAAGCCCATGCACAAAAAGGCAAAACCTAAAATTTGCTTTGGCCCATATTGAAATAGATGAATACTGCAAGAGTGATGAGACAGGTTCACTGGAATGAATGGTTTTAAAGCTGCATGGCGTAAAGGTAAGGAGTTTAAAGAAAAATGCCTGGTGCTAACAGTGAAACATGGTGGTGGCAGTGTCATTATGTGGGGCTACATGAGTGCTCCTGGAAGATGTCTGACTGACAGCGCTTTGTATGTGAAGTACAGTCAAAAAATGAAACAGAAATGAACTTGTGAGTTCTTCTTTTGAGCTTACAGATCAAATAAATGTTTTTTTTAGCATTCCGCCTCCGATTCTACGACCACAGTCGGACTCATGATTTTATTATTTAATTTGACACATTCTGACCTCCAGACCAGTGTAAAAATTAAAACCAAGTTGATTAAAAGTACTATTTTTTATTGTACAGTACTGTATTAGATTACAACAGAGCGTTTGATTGAGCCGTTCTCTTCCTTTAAGAAAAGTAACAGTGTTTTCCTCCACATTTTGACAGTTGATAATCAACAAGTTTTTCTTTTCTTTTGCCTTTTTTGACACTTCAATAGCAGTTGTGCTAACCTCCTCACAAATACCTTATGAGAAAGGTAAAGCATGCACTGTGTGTTTTCCCCTCTTCTTGAACAAGCTTGGAAGATTAAAAGAAACGTCTGCGCAAAATCTGTCAATTCTGTTGGTGAATAACGGCAAGCTGGAATTTAATGGCATGAGTTATATTGGGCTCCCTCAACACCCACATTTTGCTCTCTGTGAGATCAGTGGTGCTTCGTGACAGATCGGGACTGTCTTTAGTATACTCAAATTTGGGGTTTCTGAGGGAATAATTAGATGGATGGATAAGAGGCAGCTCTTGTGACTGCACACAGCGGCTGTGGTTCAACAGCGCAGTCTGTTGTCTTCAAATCTGTCTAATAATCAGATTGTGTCGATTGTGCTAAAAGTAGAACCGCCGCAGATCCATAGGATTAACTTTTTTTATATATTTGTTTTGCAAAAATCCTCATTTGATTTTGGGTTTCTCTGGAATGCAGATGAACTTCCTTGAGTCTTTTTCGGGTCTTGTTTGTCTTTACACCCAGACAAAAAAAAGATCTCGATGTCGTTGAAGAAAAGACGGCTTGTTTTATATTATTAATACGACTGTCAGTGAAAAAAAAAAAGTTGCTTAAATAAAATCTACGCAGCTGTGTGTATGTACCAACGACGGTTTCCTTGTCGTGGAATTGGAGAGCTTTGTTTTCATGAATGTAGGATGTGCACAGACATCTGTTTATCTTCCGTCTCCAGAGGACCACCATTTGTGAACATATTTACGAAAGGTGCATTCGCATGTTTTTCATGTAAGCATTTGAGTTTTAAAGAATTTTTTTAAACTTGTTAAAAGCTGGTATTAATTGTTCAAATAAAGAAGTGTAAATATACTGATTTTATTTCATTTCACAACGGACAATAACCTTATAGGTGATAAAACTATGATTGCTGTGCAATTGCAATTTAAACTTATACATATCTAGCTCTTAAACAGAACTGCCACCTCATCTACCCCCCCCCCCCCTTTTTTTGCACTATTACTATATAAATTCTATTTGTACTTGACACTTTAGAGTATTTGTCTTTACTATGTGATGCACTGAATAGCGAGATGCTCTTAATCTCATTGTACATGTGTATAGTGACAACAAAAGGCATTCTATTCTAAATGCTCTCTGGAAAAAAGATGTTGTCATAACAACAGAGTGGCCGCGTTTAAGCAGTGAACACTCCTGGAGCAAGGTGCCATCGGAGTTGTCATAGTTGGGAGAGAGCTTCAACTCCAAGTGGAGCCTGGGATCGAACCAGCAACCTTCAGATCACCAGTCGATCTCTTTAATCCACTATATACTATTTTACAAATGACCTGGGGTTGTGGCTGAAAAAGCACCAGACTGCAGGCTCTCTCTCCTCATCACAGACTGTCACTGTCAGGTACATTACAGCAGGAAACATTTGATGGAGGGCAAAAGTCAGAGCCATGCAACACAGCTTCATATCATTTGCTCATCTGAGAGAGTTTCAGCAGCTTCAAAATGTATATTTTTCCTCTTCCCAGTCTCGTAAATTGAGAACAAGCAAATCCTGATGTAGTCCTTTGTTTTGTGTCTGTCAAGGAAAAGCACAATTTATGTTTTCTACCCTTTTAATAAAAGGTTCTTGATTGGTTGTTCTTTGTGGATTTGAGGGCAATATATAGCACTTTTGTTCTTTAAAGTACCCCTTAAGCTCTTTTTGGTTCTTCGACGGTTCTTTGCTGGCTCTTTGCCGTTTTGAAAGTGCTACATGACATTTTTTGCTCCAAAGAACCCATCAAGGGGTTTCTAATGGTTTTTGGCTCTTCAGCGGTTCTTTGCTGCTTCTTTTTGGTTCTTCACCGGTTCTTTGCTGCTTCTTCGCAGGTTTGAGGGTAATACATAGCACTTTTTTGTTTCAAAAAACCCCTTAAGCTCTTTTTGGTTCTTCACTGGTTCTTCTTTGTGGGTTTGAGGGTAATACATAGCACTTTTTTGTTTCGACAAACCCCTTATGCTCTTTTTGGTTCTTCACTGGTTGTTCTTTGTGGATTTGAGGGTAATACATAGCACTTTTTTGTTTCGACAAACCCCTTATGCTCTTTTTGGTTCTTCACTGGTTGTTCTTTGTGGATTTGAGAGCAATATATAGCACTTTTATTCTTTAAAGTACCCCTTAAGCTCTTTTTTCTTTCTTCAACGGTTCTTTGCTGGCTCTTTGCCGTTTTGAAAGTGCTACATGACATTTTTTGCTCCAAAGAACCCATCAAGGGGTTTCTAATGGTTTTTGGCTCTTCAGTGGTTCTTTACTGCTTCTTTTTGGTTCTTCACCGGTTCTTTGCTGCTTCTTCGCAGGTTTGAGGGTAATACATAGCACTTTTTTGTTTCAAAAAAACCCTTAAGCTCTTTTTGGTTCTTCACTGGTTCTTCTTTGTGGGTTTGAGGGTAATATATAGGACTTTTCTGTTTCGAAAAACCCCTTATGCTCTTTTTGGTTCTTCACCGGTTGTTTACAGGTTCTTCTTTGAGGTGGTTTCAAGGAGTTTCTTATGGTGTTTGGTTCTTCACTGATTCTTTTTGGTTCTGGGTTTTGAGGTACTGTTAAAGAACTTTGTTAGCGCAAAGAAACTGTTATGGCCTTTTTGGTATTTGTCTTTCTAAAGTAGTTCTTTGTTGTTTTTAATGCACTGTACAGATGCTGGTCATATACATCATACCAAAGTTTGTTTATTTCATATTATTGATGGTTAATTCTAAATGGCACTTTTGAAGATAAGAGTTAAATGATACCAAAAAGGTTCCCCTATGATTACAAGCCACAGAACCAGATTTGAAACTTTTTTTAGTTGTCAGTGTAGCAAAAGATACGCCTTTGCTGTTTCTAACAATAGGATTGACAATAGGATTGCCAGAGAATCATCAGAATACATATAAACCAGTCAGAGTTAACGGCAGGGTTGCCAAAGTCCAGAAAACAAGTTGATACAACTACTAGATTACATAGATAATCCATTCCTTTCAATATGACATTTTAAAATTATGTTTAATTTTACAATTTAAAAGTTGATTCAGCTGTATTTGAATACTGCTTTTTTTAACAACGGAGTACAAATAGCAGGAGAAAATGATGGATAACATCTGTCTATTATGATGCTTCAGCCAACACAGTAAAATCCTAAGAGTTAAATTAACTCTATTCTGAGTATATTTGGTCCCACTCTATATAGAGTTTTAAAACAGCAGTGCAATGTGAGGCTGTGGGAGGGGCTGTGTCTATATATGGCCGCTTCCACTTTTGTGATGTCACAATTATTCCAAAAGTTAATTTCGTCTTTTGAAACCATCTGACTCAGATGTCGATTCTAGAGAAATATAATCATTGTAACTCTAAATAGAGTAAAATGAACTCTGCTTTTACTCAAATTTGACCAACGCCAGCAT